TATATATTATTTAAAAATAATTCGATTTTATCCAGTTATTGTATAAATGAAAATAATCCTAACAAAATTGTTAGACTGTTGTCTAGTTTAGTTAGTTATATTTTTTACGTTAATTAAAACTTTGCATTACATTCATAAATGCAATCCAAAGATTATGCGTTCGAACCCTAGTTGTGTACCAATGGATTTGTCGTCATATTAACTCAAATGGAACTAAATTAATTTTAAAATAACTAATATTAAGATGAATATTAAATAAGCATCTGCGTCTCAACTAAGGTCGTTCACAACATAGGAATTATACATAACCTATAAACAATAATACAATTTTGTTGTATTTGGTTGGTCAGAGCTAAAACGTTTATGTTTTGTTTTTCATTTTGATTTTTTATTTCTATTCCAATAAAAGAGCGGAGTCTTCTGTTAATTCGTTTTGCGTAATATTTGCTATTTGCTTGATGACCATGAATTATGCATTAGTTTAAGATGATTATTAAATGTGATAACAAGTTGGTCATCGATTACAAGGTCGATATTAAAACACCTTTGCTCACTAAATATTTATATTCTATATTTAAATTACAAATAAAATTAAAAACTCCATTAGTGTGATCTGTGGTTAGTCTGATTCAACGAGTATGGTCAAAACTACATAAGTTATTTTTAAATGAGTAAATTAAACTAAATACTTATTTGGTTAGATTTAAACCTATTTAATACATGATTTATCTTGTACATAATTGTGTAACTGACTTATAGCGATGAGTTTTGATACCATATTTTGAATTTGATAACAAAAACTATATCATAGTAAGTCTTTTAATGATAATGGAAGCGCTAATTTGCTAACTTGGATCGCGTGGTGCCAAAGCTCTGTTGGAAGAACCCGGTGCAATACTAATATGTCGATTTATAGTTTGATCATTGCTAATTATCTGTATCTGATATTATCAGTGAAATCTATGCTGAATTTCAAGTCTTACTTTGAGATAACGGGAATTTTGACAGATATACGACTCTTTCATTAACTAATCTACTTTAGTCATAAAACCTTAATAAAATCAAAAGGGTAATTACAGATTAAAGATTTAATTTGGCGCCTGATAGATAGTAAAGGTGACCCCTAAGCTGGTGCTTTTCTCGCTCAACGAATAAGTATCGCAATACAGCCAGGAAATGCCATTGAAAGTACACGGAGACCAATATTTTTAAATATGTTTTAATTTTCTATTTATAAATTTTTTGTTATTATTACTACGTAATAAAAATATTGTAAATACTGCATAAAGGGAAGTCCATAAAATTGCTATTGAATATAATAAAAGGTAGTTTGGTATGAAGGAAGGGAAAGTCGTGCCTCAATTTTAAGATTTCCCTGTTTAAATATAAACCTTCACACCAAGGACGAACAACGTTGACATTCCTAAAGTTTTAAGTGGTGTGAAGTATTTCTAAACCTTTAATTTGGATTACCGTCATAAAACGTAAAATTTTGTTTCATAGTACTGTTATATAGTGTTGAATCGATAAAATAATATTTCAAATTGATAAAAATTTGCAATTTAACGATAGGAGTACAAAACCAGGCCACATTAATTACTCGGCAACATCACATGTTGTACTAACAAACTTATTAAGTAAAATCAGTTAAATTCATATGTGAAAATGACATAAATAACATAATGAATGTTAAATTACAAACTAGGTCGCTGCGCCAAAACGGACCCATGCATTTTCTTCGTCGATCGTAACACTATTTCCAAAGAGCAATTTTTTTATCAAGTTAAATGACATTGGTTAGTTAATCTAAATATTAAGTATTACACGATATGACATTCGTAATTCAAAAGTAAGGATGAAAAAAATAAAGAGACGTAAAATTCACAATTCAAAGTATTATTTACACATAAACAACAGACTTAGGTGAAACGTACCCCTCATGAGTGAGATACTAAATATTACAAAAGAGGATGAAGCAAAAACGGTATGCCAAGATCATGTGGTGGTCTTTGGTCGCCTATGAAAAATAATAAATATTTGTAATTTTTCCTTTCTTTATATTTTTTTAATTATATATTTGTTCCTTTTCGCCGAAAGGATAGGAAAGGATCTTCACTTGCTACAGTTCATCATGCACGTCGTTTAGAGTTCAAAGCCCGTCATGACTTTAGAATATATTTTATGCTCGGTTGCTCCCTTCACCGGGTTTCTTGAAAACTAATAAAGGTATCGCATTGCGCATGACAGAGTTTAAGAGCTGGTGCATAGAGAGTTATATTTTCATGTATGTTCGTGGGATATCCGTAGTTTTGGGTAAATAGAATTATAAATTAGGTGTCATTGTTCAAAAAAAACTTTTTTAGTTTATAGCAAATCTAATGTTAATGCCTTATACGAATGTTACGGATATTGAGCAACTTATTGGCATCGCAAGAAAAGTAAATAAATATATTGGGAAACAAAAACAGTGAATCTGACAATAAAAAAAATTAAAAAAACCGGCCTTGGTTTTTTTAAGTGATACCGCATAGATACGCACATTGCCAGTGGACCCTAACGCCCGAACCCAATAATCAATCTGATCTCAAATTGTTTTCAATCAGACCATGACAGTCGATTGATCTCCTATCTGCATCCCAATAACCAAACCCTACGAAGACATACCATTTTTGGCGACGGATAAAATGCTCTTTGTCGTTCCATTATACCAAGTTTTCACTCATATTTGATAATCAATGTAAACCAAATAAAGTAAATAAAACCGTACAAATAACATTAAAATATACATGTGTATGTTTAAAACATAACAAACAGTTTATTTAATTATTTAAAAAACTGGTGTAAGTTAAAATCTGTTAAAATAATTAACTGTTGAAATCGAGCTTTCGTCAACTGTCATTTTCATACAGAGGTCTATCCACAGACACCGATACGACATACAATGGATAGCTTGTATCGACAGATGGCTAATACAATCCGTCGATTGGTTATTAGCACTCTTGTTACAACATTTGGATTAAGATTACTATCTAAGATGGTGGATTATGGATTGAGATAGGTTATTGGGCGTAAGTCGAATTGGTTCGGAAATACATCGGTGGATAGATGGTTCTACATATGGTGTGCGGCAGCAACTGCCTTAAATAAAGCTCAGTTGTGGAACGAAGGACCTGAGCAGAATTTATGCTTCATAATTCTACATTTTAAACTGGATTTCTCAATTTTAAAAACCTTGAAAAAAGTTTTTATATAATATTTGCTCGTTAAAGACTATTTAAGTATTTGCTAGCTCTTGGACAAATTTTATCAATCTCCCACTTAGTTGTTCATAAGCCATCGTAAGAGGTGTTGCTTATAAAAATATTATTTTTCAAACTGTGTTCAATTTGAAATTTTGAAATTATTGACGTAGTTGATATGCAAAAAACAGTGTGTTAAAAGATAATGTCATTTTTTCCTTAGTTATAAGTAAGTAAATTCCGTACATTAGTTTTTGTAGTGATGTAAGTTTGACAATGATAATTTTGAAGGTTCCTTCTTGTTTTTCGGTGAAAAAAAACGAATATTGTCAAAGAAATAATATGTTATAATATAATTTTCTATTATTTTAAAGTTGCTGGCTGTAAAAAAAACTATAACATAAATAAAAAAAAGGATTTAGTGTGAATAAGAGGTATTTAAAGGATAACACGTCCAACTATAAGTCAATAATTTGTTTCTATATATTATGGATATATATTGATAATTTATTTTTAATAAATAAACTCGACTCACTCAAATGTATTGCGCTGTTCTGGGCTTGGTGAGTTCGCAAGTGAATGTGATAATTAAGACTAACGAATTACGAATTGCGTAATGTACGTCCAACAATCGAATTCAAGCGAAAAGTTCACAATATTATGTTAGGACACCATTGATCACTGTGTGGCTCTATGAATTAACTTGCCAGTGTTGGAGAATCTGCCCCAGTACAGCCTTGCGATTCTGAATGACTGCTTCACGACTGATTCAAGCACGACCGCCGCTCCAAAAACCGCTGTGAGAGTTCGAAAAGTGAGTTACAGAATCGCAAGGCAGACCCGTTTCTTGCATGATAACGGTCGTCAATAATTTCCTCAAGTCTGTACTAGAATGTGATATACTGACGGGGTACGGTGTGCTACAGGATAAACAAAACCGGTTCCTAGATCTAAGTAATTTAATCTTTAAAGTAGCCAAGAAATATGTTATATGAAATATGTATTTTGTCCGCTTTTGTGTGTTGAATGAAAAATTTTGTATACTAAAGGGGAATTCGTATGATTAGCGACTTGACCTTTATACATATACAATGTAGCTTCGTATCGGCATAATCGATATCTAGACTTGCTTGAAATGTCAAATCTCCTTGTGATGATAGTACATAGCGAATTGCATAAATAATAGTCTGTTTGTTTAGGTAAGAGTCAAGGTCAAGAATATTTGGAATTAAAAATAATATGTTAAAAAATATTTCTATTTTGTTGACGTAAATAAGTTTCCTGATTTAATCACTTTTAGTATTCTTTTAAAAATGTTTATCAAGGTTTTTGATTGTATTAATCAACTATAATGTACTTTGCCCTACAATCACAAATATCTAATGATAACCAGCTATTGATTGAATTCTATTAGTTATTTACTCACTACTTTGTTAGAGGCAAGTATAATGTAAAAATACGATTTTTAAAATGTAATTTAGTTTTTTGTTTAATTTAAAAAAAATAGGCAAACTGATTCTATATAGTTGCTTATAATACTTTAATACAGAGCATAAAAAAAAATAACTATTTTAAGGTTCATTTTGTGAGCATACTTTTTTACCATGGGAAACCAAAATTCAGTTTAAAAGCCGAAAGAGGCCGCTAAAGTCGGTGCTATTTTGGAACTTAAATACTTTTTACATAACTCTGGAAACGTTTTAAATCTTTATAATTTTTTGCAGATTATTTTTTGTGTGAGATTGGAAAAATCGCCACAGAATGGGGTAAGTCTGTATTAATTAGCGATATTTACTGTTATGAAACGATTATGTTTCCATTATCCTTGACATTATTCTAAGTAATCCTAGATAACTCTGCTAGTTCATCTGAACATTGTACAATTGTCTGATTAGATGTTATTTGCGACCTAGTGTATGTGATACATATGGTTATTAAAGCATGAAAAGATAATAAACTAACAGGTTCAACATTAAATTTAACATAAGTTAATACCATGCAAACTAATACAATCTCATTTAATACGGATTGGAGCTTAATATAACATCTTTCAGGAGCAAAAACCAAGGGAATAGAAGTTATCGACGAACAGCAAAAGGTTTTTTAAGGTATGATTAAACTGATAACTGAAATATAAATATTGGCACTAGGTTAAGCACAGTTTACAAGCATGTAGGTGATTTATACCCACCTCCATTTAAGACCTGACGCGCCCGTGACCTCACGCAAGAATAAGAGTTAATTTAGAGATAAACAAATGAATGAAAATTAATTTTTACACCTGAGGTTTGAGCCCACGACCTCACTTGTTGGGCGGGGCTAGCTGTAAATATTTTTTGTATGCTATACATACACCTGCCCTGCGATTCTGTAACTCACTTTTCTAACTCACACAGCGGTTTTCGCATCGGCGGTCGCTCTGAAATCAGTCGTGAAGGAGTCATTTTATGATTTGGCATTCTAATAAACAATAAACTACAAGCTGCCACCTTTTCAGAACCGCCGATGCGAAAACCGCTGTGTGAGTTCGAAAAGTGAGTTACAGAATCGCAGGGCTGTAAGGTAAGACTTCATATACGATTGTGGTTTTGAAAGTTTGATTCGTGCAGGTATTTTTATACATATTTGTAAGGTAATTTTGTCTTCGGGTTCTTGTTGTTAAGGACATTAAAATAGTTCACTGAATTTATTGTCGCGTTATGTGTACACGCTGAAATATTGTCATAATTTTAAGAGCATGATGCCTTATGCAAGTTTTGCATGTATAACTAAAAGCCTTGCATGATAGTTTAAACATATGTATTTGAAATCATCTACATTACAGATTAATAAGCACTGTAGTCTACATGTGATTAATAATTGGTATATTAAAAAAAATATAATACCAAGAAATGACAGTTTAGAAAGTTGAGCTTTAATTTTTGTAAAGTAAATTATAAATAACTTCAGGCATTTGTTACGTGTCGAGATTTCGATAGTAATGATTGGTTTAGCGACATAATTAATAGTCTAAAGAAGAAGAAATTTAAAAAAACGAGCTTTCTAGAAAAGAGCATAACCAACATAACCGTGTTCTATCAAAGGTATAAACCATTTTTTTCTAACTGAAGTTTGTCATATGGTGCTCAAGACGAGACCGTGGCTGCGTTTTTAAATTAGAATATGGGCCAAATATACGTGATTTTTGTGTAAATTATAACATTTTTCACGATTCCGAAAAAAGAAATTGTTAAATAATTTTTTTTTCAGAAAATCTGATTCATATATGCCCATAAGACTGGCTGGGGACCTTGTATTATTCGCTGCTCATGGAATCAATATAATAGTAATGCATTTAGCGTTACAGACCGATATTATGAAGGAGAAAGATCTTACGGAATTCCATTCACTACAGTGGAAATATATAACTATCTGGAATTTGGTAAGAATAATATTAGTAAAACAAAATCTTCAAAATATTATTTCACCCTGATTCTATCTATCTAGTGTTATCATCATGCGATTATCATCCCTGAGGTCGTGGGTTCGAACGCCTGTGCGCTATGTGTATTTAACACTGGCTCGTACAGTGTAGGAAAATATCGTAAGGAAACCAGCCTACCTTAGAGAGAGGCACACAAGGCTGATCACCTACTTGTCCATTAGAAAAACAAATTATCACAAGTTTGAAGCACGACTCATTTACGCTTCATTAATCAGTTTAACGTGCCAGATCTTCATAATTCATAAATCACAAAAATACTCTCCGTTCATGACTAAGTACTCGTATCAATAGTTCTAGGCAATTTCAGCTTCCATATTGACGCAAGATAGGATTGATCAAATTAATTAATTAGTTTTATATTTGGCTTGTAATTTATCTTATAAATTCCTTTCTATTACGAGATATACTTTTATTACTAAGGAAACTGTCTGTAGAAAGTATGATGTTTTTACTTTTATGCCTGTTGGTTGCTGTAAGCTACTAATAAAAACAAACAACGGATAACATAAGAGCAAAGATACTAAATAATATCTCTAAAAGTATATTTCTTTGCCTAAATTAGTACTCGTTTCGGCAGCACATCCAAAAAAAACAGAATGCACGGTTGATACAGAGATTCATTGCTCATTCATAATTAACGAAAAAATCTAATTACATAAACAGAAAATCGTTAGGTTACCACTAATAGCATAATAAGGTTATTTTGTCGCTATGTAAAAGCTATAAGTTTAAAAAATATCTAGAATATTAAAACTCCCAGACGAAAACAGGTAAATACGTTTAATTTTTTTTACATTCCCCATTTAATCATGTACATAACTAAATTATTTTATAATTATTATGAGTAAAATAATATTTTTTTAATAACAATATACCCTCCGGCATTTCAAGGCAAACCTTGTACATAATATCTGCATTTTTGTTTGTAACATAATATTATTATGGTCTGTGTTCTTGTCACACAGCAAATTTATTATGGCTTTTTCTTTCTTATTATTGCTATTTTGTTCAACTTGTTTAACCCAATTTTTTAAAATACCTAGCGTTTCTGTATTCATACGGAAACGAATCAAACCTACCAAATTAATCCTTTGTTTTAATCGCGGTGTTTAACTATAATCGATTGTGATATTAATTATTTAATTGCCTTCCTTGAAGATACAGTTCACTTTTGCATGGAAATTAGATTTTTAAAGGTACAGAACTTCTATAGTACCTAGCATTTATAAGTGTTAGACATACTTAAATATATAATGGAATTCTGGTATTAGGATTAATTAAATTGTTATAATTATATTTTGACATTTTAATTATTATGCTTGTTTATTAGTAATTCTATTAACCATCTTTTTTACCAATTTTATGGCAAATAAAGATTTAATTATGTTTTAATTTTCAGGCATTCCAAATTGCTTACCTTCTGATGGCAATCGCGTGTGATATTTCCTCATTATTTAAAATATTTGAAGAAAACAAAATCGTGGAACAAATTAAACGTTACAGGAAAACATTCTTTTCAGCTGTTGTCTGGCCTTCAAGTATTGTAAGTATTTATTTTTTATAAGTTATGTTTATTTATACGTTAAAACAAAAATAGGTTTCATTTTTATGATATTTGGGGCATATAATATTAATTTAGTAAGAAGATTCTGTCATGATCTTAAGGGTACTACCAAAATAATAATAACTTTAAAAATAGTGAGGTTAATGAAAAACCTATACGGTATACACATTTCAGACTTGTTTCTTGGTTAAACTATTGTATTGGCCAATCACTTAATTTAAGTTTATTTTATCACTTTGGCATAAATGGAGGCAAATTACAAGATATGATTGGATAGAGAAAAAAACGTATAGAAAACAAATAGTTAATAAACATACGAAAGAACAATAATTTCAAATACTTCTTATGAATTTATTTATTTGAGAACCCGATAGAGAATTGCAGTAAGTAATTTAATCTAAAACTTGTAGCTATTAATCATGTGTGTTATAGACCTAATATAAAATTCCTGAACTACAACATTTTTTTTCCGAAAGTTCAACTCTTACCAAAGGTAATGAAGCGCTGTCGAATACGCGCTCAAAAGCTGTATTTAACTAGAAAAACCCGTTTTTTACCGGATTGAAGTTATGTATTATAAATTTACAATTATTTTACTTAATTTTAAATTTAATCGACGTTTCTATGTTTTTCTATGTGTAAAAGCTATGACAATGAAAGACAATACTATGTATTTAACTAATAAAAAATTATTTCAAACATACAAATATTTAATATATATTCTTAACCTACATAGTAATAATAATTAAAACGAAATAAAAAAGTTTGGTTCCTGTGGCAGTGTACCTTAAACGCTGGCAGAATTTCCTCGCTGAAAAGCGATACTTATTCGTTGAGAGATGAAAATACCTGTTCTGGTGTCACGGGTACTATTTACCAGGCGCCAACTTAAATCTTTAATTAGCGCCTGTGCACTTAAACTCCACGGCCGTATATGTATAAACATAACCGTTCTTTACCCGCGGAGGTTTTAAGAACGCTTTTGGTGAAACCTCTAAAGACATTTAACTATTATGGAACTCTTTATAATACACACGTTTTGTTTCAGCTTGTTAGCTCGCTATTTTGGCCGATATTCCTTTATGATCGAGAACTTGTTTTCCCATCTTATATTGACAAGGTTCTTTCCACCTCTTCAAACCATATGATACACTCTTTCATAACTGTCGTGGTTGTATGGGAGCTCATTACTTTTCCCAGAAGTAGACCGCAGTCACATAAGTGGAACTTGATGCAATTAGCTGTTATTTACGTGGCTTATCTGGTTGTGTAAGTATATATATATCTAGTTATTTACTTTTACGTATAAAATCAAATTTATTGTGCAAATAAATTCGGAAGATACTAAATTCTTGGTTTAGAAAAAATGGGCCATCTTTACGCTTGTTAATATAACGTGTATATTACACGCGTTAGAAGTTGTACTTCCTTGGCGTAACAAGATAAAAATCATTTCAAAAATTTATCTTTCGCCTTACTCTATGTTTGTAGAAAAAACGACACTAACAATAGAAACAATTTACTCTCATAATTTTTCCCTAATAGACAAGGGTCGATAATTTTTGAAACCAAAAAAAATAATGGTAGGATGAAAACCATTGGAAAAGCTCGTATTATAAAAAATGTCGGTTTTTTGTGAAAGCGTTCGCGTGCATCTTAAAAATTTACTCATCATTTTTCTCTAACGCGGCATAAGAAGTATAACTTCAAAAATTGTCATGTTCAGAGCCAATTATTTTTTTCTTTCAGGTTCATAACAAACTACCACATCACAGGATTATGGCCATACCCACTACTGTATAGTATATATGGAACGATATATTTCCCACTATTTTTATTTGCAGTATTTATAATTTATTTAATTGCATACTTTATACAGTGGCCTCTTGTGAGCCTTATACATGGATCTTCGAAGAAAGTGGCTGAATGATCCCGCGCAATTAGTTTATACCTAACGCTACTACGTACTGTACGATGAGTTCGACTTCAATTATCGTAACCAGCCATTAAATTACTAGCGATTGATTTGGAAAATTTAGGTTATATTATACAGGAGCAGTTTTTAGTAACCGATATGGAAAGTAGAAAGATATGGAGACAAGCCAAAACAGCATACTCCTCTTTCAAAGATTGGCAACGCCCCACTAAAATGGGTGTCTATGGGCTGCGACGACTGCTCTCTTCCGGCGTACCGTATGCAAGTTTGCCCCCCTATTCTATAAAAAAAGATTGCTGTCCTTTTTTTATATATTATTTACCATAGTACCTCAAAAATGAAGATGATAAATGAAACTCAACATATTATTTTAAAAAATCATTCCTTCAGAAGTTATTGAAGCTTTGTGCGTATTTGATAGTATATCTCGGGTTGCTAGGTTGTGGTTTAGGAATTTTTATTAAGTAGAAAATAATGATAACGACACAGGTGATTTTTTTCATGTCAATACTAAAGTAAATTCTTAAAAATAGGAGAAACATCGGGGCGTGTTTTGTAAACACAATTGATTGAAAACAATAATTCATTGAAATAGAACCTCCACCTTCAAAAACACTCAATATACTAAACATAACCTGGAAAGTGATAATGTGATAAATTACCAACCCTTATATATAAAGGGTAACTCTCTGGCATACTATAGGCTATAAAGAACGCATATCGCTGGGTTGTAATTATTACGTAGTATGAATAGGATAGAAAATAACATAACAGCGTTTTCCACTGGAACCCGAGTTAGACTTGGGTTTTATCAGCTGCTACGCATTAGTTTATGAACTTTACACTTATTCACCTTTATTTTACGTGTATAAAATATACGGATAAGAACATCACAATCAAGAAATAAGAAAGAGAGAGAAGAGAAGAAGAGAAGAAAAAAAGAGAGAGTAAGAACATCACTTTTGTCATTTTTCGACATTTGTTTTCATTCTACAGATTATACAATTCTTATAATAACTGTGATATTATGTAAAATTAAATTAAGATGTATTTGCTGCCTTTGGTCAGCACTTATAAAGAAATATTAATTAGTAATATAGATTAAATGTAGAAATTGTTTTTTTTGCATCCACGATCCTTTTAAATCCATATTGCACCTGTTTCGTTAGTATTTTTATAGATGCTTTGTTAATTAGCTTATACATAGTAGCAAGGCAAGCAAGTTTCCTAAGGAAATTTCTGCCGCGCGCCACCACTCTGTGGAACCAGCTGCACACTAAAGTATTCCCGAACCAATTCGACTTAGGTGCTCCAGAAAAGAGAGTACCAATTCTTAAAAGGCCGGCAACGCGCTTGCGAGCCTTCTGGCAGTGCGAGTGTCCATGAACGGCGGTATCACTTAACTTCAGGTGAGCTTAATGCCCGTTTGCCTCCTGAAAAAAAAAAGGATTTTTCACCCAGACCGCAGCGTTCTACGAGTGAAATTTTGAAGGGGTAAAAATCAATTTGTCATATATAGAACAAGGAATATTATTATGATCTAGAAGGTGTCTAAAGTACTAGAAATAAAACACAGGAAATTGCAAGTGATTCGAGAATAATAATAAAAACAATAACATTTATTTTACTATTGGTTCTCAAATTCCTCCTCCAACTACTAAGGTACTTTAGTTTGTAATTTCACAAATCAACAAAGCTTCATCAAACGTAAGTTAACCGAAAAATCTTTCTAAAACAAATTAAATTAAACGAAATTATCGAAATTAATTTAGATTACAGATATTTCGGTTACCTTATGCGTACATTATATGTTATATATTCTGTTTTTTACATAGATATATGTTTTTTTTAATATTTTGTTACTCTTTAATATGTTCAGGTAATGTGTAAAAATACTTCAGTTAACAAATTAATATTTTTTTATAATATAAAATAATTATCTCATAGAAAACAAGATATAAAAAATTTTCACTATGTGTGATCAAGACCCAATATCAACGGGTATTGTATAAAATAGAAGCTCTATTCAAATCATTTACAAATAAAACGTAGAATTATAAAAAACACGATTATTCCCGCAATTGCTTGCTTTTTCGAAAAGTTCCTATCATTATTATGTGTCCAAGTCTATGATATTATTTAAGTGAAAATTTAGCAAAACATAGTACAAAACTTTTTAGAAATATCTAATAAAACTACCCAGCAATTTTTAATCGTTACCCTAATACTATTACTAACTCGACGCTCCTACGAGTGAAATCGTACGAAATATGCGTCTCTCTTAATCATTTCTGCACCAATCACAAGTCTACTTTATAAGAAGTATAGAATGGACACATTGTCACAGGTTTTGGATTGTATAATGACCTTTTAAATAAATTCGACAAATGCCCCCGCTGTAGAATCTGAATTCGGTAAAATTATTATCTAACGCCGGAGTGTTACTTAAAAACTGATTGACTAAGCTTAAATAGGAATTTTAACGATAACAAAAGGTAAGTACTACGACCAAAGTTACTAAAACACACGAAATGACACTGCAGGTAAAATATCAAATAAATAATGTTAAGTATTTTTCTGACAAAGACGTAAGCAGTTTCCCTCTTACATAACAAGATTATCAAACCTAAAGTAATTACAAAGGAAAAACAATAGACCTCTAGATTTAAGCAACATAAATTGTCTGTGGTAATTGTAGAAAATTTTCCTATTTGTCATTAGTCAATCGGAAATTAAACTCGCTCCTGGCATTAATTATACCTAACAATACCGTTGTAAAATTATTGCTAACTAATAATTAACGATTCGTAAATTATATTAAGTACTCAATAATAATTTGTACTTGATTAGGTTTTAATTTGAATCCAGATTCAAAAATGCGCGCCAGGCGTTAAATGTAGACGGCATTTTAATATTTAGGCAAAACATTTTACCATTTTTTTTTCCAATTTTCAGTCTTAGTGCTCTAATTTTTTTCGTGCACATTTTTATACGAGTAATGTCTAATATTTATTACATATTATTCGTTTCATAAAGGTTTTACGATACACAGGTTTAAGAACAAAAATTCATAAAACTTATTCGAATAAAAATGTTATATAAATTAAAAATATAATAAAAACTAATTTGCATAAGTGATAATGTATTGGTGTTATTAAGATATGTATGTTTAATGTTAAACAAGTCTATCTGTGAAATAAAATCTAATGTAAAATTAGACATTACTCACTATCGCAAAATCAACACATACTAACACATCTAATAATGTGCATCTTATTAAAGAATGCATTCAAATCATTAAATACAATATATATTTTGTCATATTAACAAGGATTCAAAACAACAAATCAGCAAGAGTATTTTTAAAATAATACTTGAACCACCCGTATATTTTTATTCTATATTATGTTCTCACTATGTATGCATGATTAATTCTATTATATGACGAAGTAAACACAATGTGGAAACTAAAATTAAAATAAAAAAACCAAAAATAAAAATAAATATATTTTATTCAACGAAAATGAAAAATAAAACAAAATGAATAGACAATAACAGATTGCTTTATTAACAAAAAATATATAATATATAGAAAGTAAAAACAACATTTTCACATGATTCGTCAAGATAGCGATCCCGATGTACTGTGGAAAATTTGTTTTTATATATTTTTTTAATAGAATGTAAAAATTAAAAATAACCCATCGAACCTTATATGACATTTAATATAAAATACATATGATTAATAACTATTTACAAAATACGTGTTAAGTTTTATAAGATTTAACATTAATATAAACCAGTCTATAGTAAAGGCTATTTCACGAAACTTAGAGTAGTGTTAGAAAAATTGATAATTATTAATAATTCTAAATAATATAGCAGGCAATTTATATTTTCAAAACCAAAAATTACGTCATCAGTAAATAGCGAACGGCTTACGTATACAAGTCAATAAACTTTAAATGTAAAATTAAAAAAAAAATAATATAAATTATTATGCGTTTTCTGTGCATCATTATTATGATAAAAACCGAACATGGCACCCAAGCGAAGAAAAGTGCTTAAAATGAGATCAAAAATCATTCCAAGAAACAAAAATTGCCTGCTAAACATCTCAAAACATTTGAGGGTACAGTTGTTAATTTAATAAATCAAATCTTATTATAGGCGATTTTGGGTGTCAAAAACCTGATACTTACTCATCTTTTTAAATAATTGAAAATAATTTATTAACGTATAAATAAAACGCTTCAACGTCCCGCCATAATAAGATTTGAGTATTCTAATAATAATATAATACAATTGCTCGCCTGATTTTGTTCAATACGCAACTTATTAATTATACTTTTATAATATTCATTAATTTTTCTTCGCTTTTGTGTTCGACACCTTCATTAAAAAGCCAAAGAAAAAGACTACAAAAAATCGGGCAGTATCTGTACTCTTATATTACATAACCGATCTTAAATCGAAATAAAAAACGTCAATATTAATAATCATTTGAAATAAATAACAAGTCAGCATAAATGTTGAAATAATTATAAAACCTATGAAAAAGTTTCGCTAAAGAAAACCGTTGTGTGATCATTATTCCGCTACATAACTTCTGTATTTATTTCTTAATAAAAACTCTATTTCTATTATTATATCTTTATATAATTATTTTATCATGTTAGATACATCATGATATCTGCATGATACGCGAAAAAAAATCGCGCACTTGTAGACGAGTCCGTAAAGCCGTGTACATTTATTACGAATCTTAATAATAAATGTAAAACTGACGGCGCCCGCGCACGCTTAGATACAAATTAAATAAACATTTATATATATACGTACGTACGTAAATAGCATTGTAACAGTCTCAATGTACATACATACAATGTATAAATAGGTTAACAATTGTGTGCGGAGCCATCAGTTTGGGCGAAATGAAAGTGAAAAATGAATGAACCAAGTCTTTGAGTCTCATTATTTGAGATCTTTATTATTGGTGCGTGTAGTCGAGCACATTATCTAGTGAGAACAGTTCCTTGTATAGCGCTGGGAACGAATGATGTGGGTGCGCGGCCTTGAAGCGGCATAGAGCCTCCAAGTGCATCAGCGATAGTTCTCTGTTGGGGAAATTATGCATTTTACTCCTCATTCATCGGTCTTTTAACTTATCCTGGATTCGAGTTCCGGAAGAGGATAAGAGGTATATGTTTGAAGGCAATGAAGTACAAACAGGACTTTTGCAAACGTCTATATAAATACATAATATAGAATATTACGATAAACTTTACTTTACCATACTAAAAACTTACCTGAAGGTGGGTATCTTAGCCAGCAATGTGTCTAGAACTGTGACGTCACCCTTGATCGGCGCATGATTTGTCTCGATCTCATGGCGCATGGCCGTCATTGACATGTTGAACAGACATTGGATCTCTGAGTTGCCGCGAACGTTGTGTCTTTCTGGAATACAAACGATAACATTAGAACACAATACTAACGCCCGAACCCAATAATAAATCCACAATCTTAGATTGAAAACAATCTGAGATCAGACCGTGACAGTTGATCGATCTCCTATCTGCATCCCAATAACCAAACCCTACGAAGACAATCCATTTTGGCGACGGATAAAATCCTCTTTGTCGTTCCATTTTACCGAGTTTTCACTCATATTTGATAATCAATGTAAACCAAACCATACAAATAACATTAAAATATACTTGTGTATGTTTAAAACATAACAAACAGTTTTTTTAATTATTAAAAAAAATTTTATTAGTTAAAATCTGTTAAAATAATTAACTGTTGAAATCGAGCTTTCGTCAAATGTCATTTTCATACAAAGGTCTATCCACAGACACCGATACGACCTCCCATGTATAGCTTGTATCGACAGATGGCTATTACAATCCGTCGATTGGTTATTGTCACAATTATTACAACATTTGGATTAAGATTACTATCTCAAATGGTGGATTAGGGATTGAGATATGTTATTGGGTTCGGGCGTAAGTAAATAATTAATATAAGCAAACAGTTTTAACCAAACTTTATAGACAAGTTATGTAGAACAAAAACTTTTCATATATAAATTTGGTTTATACTTGAATCTTATTACTTCCAGGCTTAATTTAATAGTGTTATCCTTAAGAAATGTTTAACAATGCCTAATTGATAAGTAAATAAAGATGTTAAACAGGCAGTCACGTCACATAGATTTAAGTATAACCAGCAACACCGGGCGTATATGCGTAGGTGGCTTTTCAAATATTGTAGTTGCGAGAACATACGCACCTGGCCACAGCAGTACTAGACTCTGGTATAGAGCTAACTCAGTTTCGGTGAGCTTCAGTCTTGCGATCGACTTTGCCACGTCAAATATACCCGACACTAGCGCCATGTCTCGAGGATCACTAGAAAAACAATTCGTTAATAAATAGATTATATCTAATAGTGACCTACGCTACTTAATAAAGCATATAAATTAGACGAATATTTAAATGATCCTAATCCTTGGGATTGATTTGCTCCAGTTCAAACAATTTGTATGACTCAAAACTTGTGTAAAAAGGGTGGCGGTTTCTTGCCAGTTCTTCTTGCCCGCTCTACGCCCTTGTAGTAAATGTAAATTTACAATTTATTTAACTTCTTTCTGACGTTCATAAGTGTAGTTGTTTACCGATATGAATAAAGTTATTTTGAGTTTGAATTACGTCTAAATGAGTCCTAAACCTCTCTTATGATCAAACTGAAAAATACTTCTAGAGCAACAGTAGTCAAATTATACTAAGTGTTATGTAGAATTTATTACTTCAAGTACCTAAGTATTAAATAAGTAAGTGCATAAGTATGTCAAATGGAAGAGACTTGCTACCCACGGGGAATCCTAGTGTTCTTCTACTTTCTCTTATAACTTAATACATCCTTTCTTATTATGTGTAAAAGTTTTGCTATTCTTATATTTTACATATATATGTTGCCTGCTGAATAAATTAATTAACATTAACAATATTATCGGGACAGCAGGCGAGTGAAATTACAAAAATACTGCGTGTTAAATGTAACCCAAAATTATTGATTTCTTTCATGACAGTGTTGACACATTAATTTTATATATTGAGAGCAGAATGTGTAGATATAGGCAAACCGCGGTCCAAGTTTATTAAGATAAAAATTAATACAGTTTTGATATTTATTTTTTATGTTTTTATTACACTATTATGATAGTTTTTATTAATATGTTAATTAAGAGGTTTTATAGTAACAATAATAAACATACCGTGCGTGTACGCATTCCCTTATTGGCAGAACGACGTCTCCATACAAAACTTGCTCCCTGTTGATATCAATCAATCGCGAGAGGCGGACAATCGCCAGCTCAAATGATCCTAGAATACGAAATATTCCTATTACTCGAGAACATTTCATTTCAAAAATTCATTATCCAGGCCTATAATAGGACCACTATTAACAATATTCAGTGCAGTGCTGGCCTAGTGGCTTGAGCGTGCGACATCCCTAAGGTCGTAGGTTCGATCCCCGGCCATGCATCAGTGGACTTCCTTTCTATGTGCGCATTTAACATTCGCTTGAATGGTGAAGGAAAACATCGTGAGGAAACCTGCCTTAATCCCAAAAAGACGACGGCGAGTGTCAGGCACAGGAGGCTGATCACCTACTTGCCTATTAGATTGACAAATGATCATGAAACAGATACAGAAATCTGAGGCCTAGAACTAAAAAGGTTGGTTGTTTTGATTTGAGTTAAAATTCCCAATAATTTTATATTCATGTTAAGGCGAACACAAAAAGGCTAAAATCCCGAAATTATTGTTTCGCCTGGAGGTATAACAAGCAAAGATATTATACAAATTAGTTAATAAAGCGCTACAATACCTGACTTAAGAAGTAGGATCTGATCATCTTGGCTGAGTTTCATGAAACCAGGAATGAGTTTTGCAAATTCAATGATATTTTGTATCATGGCTGTCAGTTTGTCCGCGCAGTCCAGCCACATCTCTTCGTATGTCATTGAATTGTAGAATAATAGTCTGTGAAATAAAAATTATTATTTATTACACTCCCGGAAGCAATAATAAGCGTAAACAATTCTAGACTTCGGGACAGATTTATCATTTCAAATAGTGACAAATAAGTAAATCTTAACTCAGTAAAGTAAATTTGTTTATTTTTTTTGTAACTTGAGGCAAACGGGCTCGCAAAGTGATACCGCCCATGGACAGTCACATTGGCACAAGGCTCGCAAGTGCGTTGCCTGCCTTTTAAGAATTGGTACGCTCTTGAAGGACCCTAAGTCGAATTGGTTCGAAAATACTTCAGTGTAAAGCACATAGTGGTGGTGCACGGCAAAAACTGCCTCAAAAAACGCTCAGTTGTGGAACAATGGACGTCGAGGTGATACGGTTGGCATTTTGTTTTATTTTAATCACGACTCTGTTTAGATAATAAATGTAGTAGGTACAGTTATTATTGTCTTCAATTTATACTAATTTGGAGGTTAGGAGATTAAAAGAAGAGCGCTTAGGGCGTTTCTGAATCTGAAGGTGTTATAAAGTATAAGTAACTTACTTAGGCACGTCTGGTGGCTTTCTGAACATCTCATGGATGTATTCAAGTTTTGGATTTGTGTTTGCGTGAGCTTCGGCTAAGCTCTTCACCAACATCTTGCTTAGATCGCCTTCCGCTGGAAAAAATATAATATTAAGTGAAGAGTCATTTAAAAACTAAAATAAATTTCATATTAAAATATGCTATATATACAGTCTAATTAGATTGAATTGATTAGATTTTTCTAATCATTGTAAATAAAATTTCGTACAATTTTAATGGTACAAATGTATAGCACTATAAACATATAAGCTACTACAATATTATTAAAAGTAAAACTTAACTAAATGTATATAACGAAAAAGTACAATAATCTGTGGTACATCACGCTTCATGCAAAACAAATTGTCAAAATACTGTCAAATGAAGTCTTAAATTATACGAAAATAATTATTAATAATGATCTTGTTTTAAACGATAAAATATGGAACCATTATCAATTTTATTTCTTGGTACTTGTATTATTGCATGTTGGCGTAAGATTTTTTTTACGTTATAAGGTTTTTTATGTATGTGATTTGTCCTGTAATCGACTGGGAGCAGATTTTTTGCGCTGCATTTTATATACAAGTAGGTGATCAATTGATTGTCTTCAATGGATAAACAACTTTTGTTTCATTTTTAAAAAGGCATGGATAATATGTATGGACAACTATTCTAAAAGTAATATAAAAGTAAGTTGCTTTCACGTTGAAATATTAACAAATATCGATCTTTTCAGCATGTTTGTTACCGTGTTGCTTAGCTCTCCCAATTATACCATATCCTATACTAATTATAGACTCCACGAAAAATATGGATAAATCCAAAAGAGAGGTAAGGTTTATTTTATGTCCGATAAGAATATTTTTCAATATACAATTTATGGATTATAATTATATTGTAGATGGACAGTCGTTACTACTACATATGTGTTACGAAAAATGGTATATTCTTAAAGAAAAATCGAGGTTATGAGAAGTTAACTACTTTTTGATATAACTTTGTTATTTTTATAAAATTAAACAGTTTTGTGCACTTATATAAAAAACTTTTTTCCGAACCGAATGTGAACCAAAATTTAGCGCAGGCAGAAACAAATACGCAACTTAAAGTCAAAAACAGCCTACAAAAACATAACAGAGCATCTACACAAAAATTTGCTTCTGAACTCACACGGCAAATCTTCGCTCGAGCTACTTGAACCCTGATGACGCCTCGTCACGGCATTCGGGTTCACCATTCCCATCCCTGACATATTCATATTCAAGGGATCCATCATTCTATGACCACTACTGGACGTCATATCGTCCGGGCTCAGCTCCTCGTTCAAGGAATTCTGACTGACCAACACGGAATTCTGTATCTCCATGGGGCTATGCTGTATGTTTGACGGACTGTGTAGATATGTCGTTGAGTCAACATAACTTGCAACAAGATTGTCAACGCCGATTGATGTTTCTGGTTTAATTTCTTGTTTTATGTTAATAACTCCGCTAGATATGGACACGGGTGATTGTATTCGCTCCTCGTATCGATCGAACTCCTGTATTCGCCGGCTGTCAACGTTGACAGGCCGGATTGTTGATGTGGACGTTGATGTTGATGTTGTTGTTGGTGTTGGACGAATCGTTGACTTTTGTTGTTCGTCTAGTTCAGAACGGTTTGTTAGTAAGCGATTTTACAGAAATGTTATTCCGCCTTTATTTATATATATACGTTTGTTACGAAATAGAATAAATAATTAATCGCAATATTCAAAATGACTAGGAAGGTGTTCAATCCAATTGCAATACGATTTAAAAGATTTAAATTACGACGAATAATTAAAAGTATATTGGAATTTACCCAATTTTCATGAGAATTATTTATATATAAGAGTTACAAATTAGTTAAAGATTTAATTTCTCCTGTAAGCAATATAATCTATATCATACCGATTCTTCACGTCCTAAAACTAAGTGACACGAGTGATCAAAAAATTCAGGTTTATTGTACTGAACTTACCGTTCCCAATAAAGTCTGTTTCAAGAAAGTTAGCTGTCTGTTTCGGTTCATACGTCGTTGAGTCAACGTAGTCCGCTGACACGTCGTACTGTTGCTGTGGTTGTTGGTGCAAACCGCTCATATTTGACGTTAGCGTTGGCGCTGTGTTGTTGTAACCATATGATGAAAGAGGCGATCCGTAGCCCGGATAGCTGGAATTTAAAAATATTTTTAATAACTCTATTTTATGTAACAACATCCAGTACCCTACAACCTTTTTAGGTCTGGGCCTCAGATCTGTATCTGTTTTGTGGTGTATTGTTGGCAAGTAGGTTATCAGCCTTGCATGCCATGTTGGCATATCAAGCATGCTGATTTCGTCACGATTTTTTACTTCACTGCACGAGCTTGTGTTAAATGCCGCACATACACAAAGTCTATTGGTGCATGGCGGGGATCGAATCTACGACCTCAGAGATGAGAGTCGCACTCTGAAGGCCAACACTGTTATTTTATGTAATGTATTATTTTACAGAAAAAGGTGTATATGTTATACTTTCGCATAAGTCGGGTAAAGAGTTATTTTAAAGCTTAACACATATAAATAGCTATTTTAATTTTGAGTTATAGCTGGTAATACCGAGTATGCGACTTCAGCTCTACGTATATTATTATTATACATCGAAATTGGATTTCATCTTTAGAAGTAATTAAAAGACAAACGTGTGCCAATACTAGTGAACTAGTGAATCTTTCAAGTCGCTATTGAAGTCAGCTTACAGGTATGGCTCCAGTGTAAGACCGTTTGCAATTAATAGCAACGGTTTTAAAACAAGACATGTTGACGGTAAAAAAGTATCCCATTACAATTCAATACGCATTCAATTAATTATACCGCACCATCTACAAGAACCACAGTACCGCTACTTGATACTAGATGGCGGTATTTACATTAACCGTTACTCTTCGCTGTGGTAAACGGGAACCGTAATGACAATGTCTGCGTCGTTGACATCAATAGAAGTAATGAATTACAAGAAATATCTAACTGTTCCTTTGTGACAGCGAAAGCGTCTAGGTTATGTAACGGGATTAAAAATGGCGGGATAATCCGTGCTTTTATAGGTTTTTTAGATTCATGCGTTAAGGAGAATTTTATAAAGTTTTCAATGTGTGAGTTCAAAATATTAGCGAAATTGTAGATTTTTAATTTTGTTATCAGCGTCCGTAATTCCGAGGTTTTCAATAAAAAAAATACACAATGTGGCTTTTAAGGATTGTTAAGAAATTTTCCTTACATAGAGGAAAACAGTCTTGTTGTATAATACGACGCTGAAATTACTAAGAGCTTACTAAAGATCAAGGACCTTTGTATGTTACAAGAAGCGTAGTTCATCTACTAAACAAAAGGTGGCGTTACCCATTATAATGTCCATGGAATTGATCGCTAGAGCTGGGCGTTTGTCTTTGTGAGTCATAGACTGAGTCTGGAGCTGCTTCAATTTGAGTGCGAAGTTGCACCGCTTTCACCTCCTCTTGTACTTTTTCCCGCTGCTTTTTTGACATACGACCAAATTTGACAGCTGAAATAAAATTAATACTTTCTGAATACGAAAAAAGCTTTGGATTAAAAATAAACCAAAGATAAAAACAGTTAAACACGATTTGCCATTCTAAATTCAAAAATCGCAATGTGTCCTTTTTTATTCAAATCACCTCACAAATACCTTGAACACCGTTACACGTACAAGGCATTGGTGTGTGCGTGAATCGTTTGTATGTGTAGCGGGCATTGGCATACTGCCTAGTGGCACAACGAACTCGATGTACCTCTGACGTTACATGACGTATTGTATTACTACGTAAGGATGTCCCGTTCGGCAATTTGCGAGATGTAGGGTTACCCTATGCAAAAATGTAAAATTCTCACAAATTCTGTTTTTTTACACAACTTATTTGTATTAATATTTAAAAAATAAATTAATATTTACAACCAGGCTTCATTTTTCTTCTTGAATAATAGGTTAGGTTTATTCCGAGAAGGACTGACTGTGGAAATTAACATTTTAAAGTATCGTGATCTTAATATTGCTTGCCGAAATTGACGAAGATGGAAACCCCAAATATTTCTATACGATTCTGACACCGCTTGGCTTATTTTTTCGGTTGCTCCTTTGTGGCGTTCAATGAACTCACCATTCTAAATAGAGCTTTGATTTTAAACATTTTAGTCGCGAAACGGGGTCATGTTATTTTGACGGGGTTTAACGAAAAACCATTTTAAAATGAGCTGTATTTTTATAAGCGATATGTGTTTGGGAGGGATCCTATTTTTTGGCTTTGTTTTTCGAAACAGTACTCTTTTGTTTCATACACAATGCTTGTTCATACGCAGTTCATAAAAGAAAATATAAAATGAAATACGCTTTTGTATGCTTCCGTGTTTGACTATTATAATAATTACACACATGAAATATGACTTAGTTTACCTCTTTTTAATATTTATATTGATAATATATAAACTGTTTATTGCTATTAAGTAGTTATGCTTGTATAACACCTATTTTATCGATATAAACAGCCCTAGTTAGCGAAAAAGTTTAATTATTCTCTATTATTACATAACGTAATCAACTATGTGACTTGTTACGTGTACATATAAAAAGGCGTTACGCTTTATGACTGCATTGCACAACATAGCGATACGACATGATATCGATATTATCTCAATTTTATCGATAAAATAGCAACTATAATTTATAGCCAAATTAATTATTTTCCGCAATAATATGTTACTGTGTAAAATGTAGTAATTTAAGTGTTATAATAACACAACAACTTATAGAGCTAATCATACATTTGGTCTATATTGTTGTATTAACCTTAATCTACCACTTATGGTTATAAAATCTTGACTTTTTTTAAACTAATTTTTGACCATTAATTAATTTTTTTTGCCGACTATTAACAGTTCCAAAGTCAAACAAAAACAACAACAATGAATAACAAATAGAAGTAAATTTAACGAATCTTTTACTTGAAGTAAAAGGTTTCGAAGGCGAGGTTCAGAAATCTTCCATAATATTACAACACCTTGGTTCTATAAGGTTTCATTTGAAAACATTTCAAGGATAACTTTTAACTGACTTCGTTACATAAGATTACTATATCTTTATTGGAAGAATTAATCTGTACAGCATTTCAGTGTTTTTATAGACAAGGATGTGATCAGATATTCACCGATTTTGGATCTTAATATATTTTTTTAGATTTTATTAGAAAAGTCATACCAAAATACTTTTGATTTAAGGTATTACATATTAGATATTAAGAAGATTAATATTTTCTAACTCTTATATAATTAACAGCATCTCAATCAAAATTTTATCTGTAGTGAATCGATATAACCGTACATCACTAGCGGTTACGTCAGTTTACGCAATAGCCAATGCACAATACGCTCGGGCTGCGTCGCGCTATGCGACTTGAAGACTTTGTGTTGCGTGCTCACTGCTCAGTGCTCCAATACGAGTTGGACTTGTATCCCCAATAACACACTTCTGCATGTATTTATTTACTAACTAGACATCAAATAAAAACCAGACCCTAAATAATGATTACCACGCGATCAGCGAAATCAGCGCTACGGATATTGAGAGATCGAAATTCCTTACAAAAACGTTTCTATGGGAAGTACGCTGATAGGCAATTGTTAAACTGGTGTATCAGATTGAACTGACTAAATTGTTAGTGATTATATTTGGCAGCAGCTCCTTACGAGTCTTTAGCATCTTTTTGAAATAAGATATCTTTAAAACATTTAATCACCGATTTTAACAGGCAGGCTTTAGTTTAACACACACACACTCATGAACACTTATATTGTTACGTCTGTAAACCTAATTGCCGTTTCGATTTGAAAATTACATTATAAAGTTTTTCTAAATAAATATTAATATTAAATAAGTAAAATGGGTTCTTAAATTAGTTCGCGTAAAATTTGTTTACTGCCGAATTTTGTGGAACACGCGTTGTCCTAATTAAGAGAGAATCAGAGGCTTCATGAATAATTCTTGACCATTTGGGTTTTTTTAGTTACGTTTTATTTAAATATAGTGACAATTAAATTGGGATTAATAATTGTGTATCTAATTAGCCTGTATAAAACATTTTAGTCCGTATATATTTTTTTAATTTATTTATTCTTCGTTAATAATTTCTTAGGTGTTTCCACATTAAGTTTATCATTTGAACCTTATGATTGTAACATAACAACCGTTATCGCGCCTGATAACGTGTCGTTGACCCCGCGTTTGCTTCCTCATACCACTGGCTCGTATTTATAAACCAGACTTTTATATTAAATGAATCGGCATCGGTGGCGTTTAAATTTTAGTTTCTCATCTCAGCATCGTAAATATTATCGTACAGAAATATTTTTGCTAGGATTTTGAATTTAGAACACAATTTGACTCGCTCTAGAGAGAAAAGTGTTTAGTGAATCCATTATAAATCTACTTAATTAAATCATTTGTTCTATTATGTTTAGTATTTCGATATTGCTTGATACAATAACTGCACTCCATAGACGCTGGTACAGCGCTGTCAGAACGCATGCAGCTTATCAAACACACAAGCAAAAATACTACCAAGTTTAGAACTAGAATTAAGCGAAAGAAGAATCCTTTATACAGATTTGGGATATATGCTGTACTTACCATCACGACTCATGCCGAGCTTCAGGCATTTCTGAAGGCGACAGTATTGACATCTGTTGCGATTGACGCGGTCTACCACACACGCCTTGTTACGTGGGCACTGGTAGTTCACCACTGAAAAATTTCACTGTGTTAATAACAATAATTATTTATCAGCTGTGGTAGAATTTAGTTTTCAAAGACAAGATGCATGCTCTAGATCTAAATTTATCTTTCCATATGACTTTTAATCTAATAGTACTAGACCCCACGATCAATTTTTGTACCATATTTTGTTTTACTAGCCAACGGGACGTCCAGAAATGGCACCCATTTTAGTGGGTGCGTTTCCGGCCTTTGAGGCAGGAGTATGGTCTTTTTTTGCATAGCAATATAGCCTAAATCACATCAAATTGATAGACTTAACTATCGAAAATATCAGTATGAGACATTTTTGGCGTAGCGTTTAAGGTGGCAATATATGTTTTTTTAATGTTCAACAATTTTAACGAACTATATCATATACTTAATGAATGGTTAAAATTAGCACAATGTGTCTGACTTGAAGGTGATAGCGACTTAGGAACGACTCTTCTTTGAATCGAAGATAATCATTAAAATTAATTAAGACAGATTTTTATTACCAGTCGTTTTTCGGGGTTGGATTGATAGACTTCGAAGATTAGACTAGACGGTCTTTTCATACCGCAAAAAAGCTTTGAATGTGTCAAAACAACTGTCAAATATCAAAACTTTTTGATATGTCCAGACAGCGATTCGGTCTCGAAAAATACTTTTTGATACTAATATTTCCGACTATACACTTAAGACTAAGTATACACTTAGCAGGTGTAGCACTTAGCATTATCTTGGAGAACGTAATAAACGTAAGTACGTCAAATTCTGTTTTTATATTAATTGACGTTTTAACACAACAGCTGTCTTCACAAGTCATATCTTTAATCTGAGTACAAAGTTTGGGTGCGATTTAGAGTCTGCCAGCTATGAATGCAAAAGTATAGACCTAAGCAAAACAGCCCATAACCCAATGAGGGGCCACGGCCCACAGGGGGGCAATTTGATTGTAAAATTCGAAAATTTCTTAAAATTATTTGGAATTAGTTTCATTATATGTTTTGAAAAATTACTTACTGTGTCCTATAAACCTATCATTTAACAAGAGCCTCAGTAAGTTTCTCAATTTAATTTTTTTATTTTAAAAATTATGCATGTTACATCCCCTAGGTATAGGAATAGGAATTTTAGAAAGGCTAAATGGGGGCACAAGAAATGTTGGGAAACACTATCATAACCGTACCTAAGCAGAACATTTTACTATTAAATTGTCTTTATTTTATTGGAACAGTTATAGAGGCCGCTGTAAAATAATAAATATAAACCTTTTCACTTTTATGGCAAGTGATAAAATTAAATAAATAATGAGCTGTGTTAGTAAGTATATTTAGTATGGGGAGTGAAGAGGGGTGAATCAGTGAAGCCGACCTGTACTTTGTGAGCGCCTGAAGAATCCTTTACAGCCCTCGCAGGTGATGACACCGTAGTGGACCCCCGACGACTTGTCTCCGCATACCTTGCATGGTATTATCTCAATTTGGGCTGGAACAAACGAAAAACAAATGAATATGGTTGATGAACACATCTTGATGACTCATGACTTCCCACGCATTTGGAAGAATGTTTGCAACAAGTAAAACCTTAAATGTTAATTAAATTGTTGCATTGACGGGGTTTCGGATAAATACTACACTTCTGGACACATCTACCACGATTCGTTTCTTATGGTCCTACCAAAAATTTATATTAGGTCGAGTAAAAGTTTTTATGCAGTTTTGAACCTGGTACATTCATAATTGCATTCAATATTTTTTAATTTCGAACACAGAATTTAAAGAAACAAAACACAATTTGGAGCCTGCTCATTGATATCAAACAATCGAATACTAAGAAAACTTGATTTTTGTTTATTGGGTTTAATTCTTGAAAGTGTGGTGTTTTCTCTTTGGTTTTGCAACAAACATTACTTATTCTTAACATTAAGATGAGGTTCTATCAATAATCTATGGATACTTGCGGTCCCTGGCGCCGCCCAAGCTGTGGCACTTATCCGGGCCGGACACAGCCAAAGAAATGTGAGTGATCACTTAATTTAAGTCGATCTGCGGTCCGAAACGTTTATCGGAGATACCTAGAGACTGGCGGTTTTGTTCGTCGCCAAGGGAAGGCCACGATTTCGGGTCACAACTGAAAGGCAGGATCGATTCATCGTGACGACCAGCTTGAGAAATCGTCACCTTACCTCCATTGAGATACAAAACCAACTTCGCGACTTCCATGGAGTAAATGTGAGCGCTCGAATGTTGGAGAAGATTAAAAGAAGCAATGGTACCACACAAGCCAGCTAATGGCCCAAAACTAACGCGAGCCCACCGAAAGCGCCCTTCATTCGCGCTCAATAAATTGGACTCAGCAGCATTGGAACGGTGTACTCTTTTCTGATGAGTCTAAAATTGTTAATGGAATGATGGAAGGAAGAAGGTCTACGACGTAAGGGAGAGCGTTTTGCCAATGCTGCTTTGAAGAGGGGGGGTTGCTTTGGCGGTGGCTCTGGACTGTCTGGGGGGCGGTATAACCCCCCGCGGGGGGCAAAAACCACCTTGAGGTTGTTACGGGACCACGGCTGCCAACATTAAATGCTACCAAGGTTACATTCTTGAGGGCTTAGAACCTCACGTGATGCCATACGCGGACTATGTGGGGCCCAAATTTCCTTTTTATGCATGATAATGCAAGAGCCCATACGGCCGGCATCGTCAGAGAATATCTTCGGGATGGTGAACATCGCAGTTATGCACTGGCCAGCCAGAAGCCCAGATATGAACCCCATTGAGCACATGTGGGATGAGCTAAAAAGACGTGTTAGGGGCTCGTCAGCCAGTTGCCCAGACGATTTAGGAATTGAAAACTGCCATAGAAGAGGAATGGGAGATGTCCTCAAAATTTCATAGAGCGGTTGATAAACTCTATGCCTAATCGTATGAGAGCTGTCGTAGATGCCCATGGAGGCAACACGCGTCATTAAATTAAACCTTTATTTGATAAAACACGTTTTTATTCAAAAATCAATGACTTCATCAGCGCATACCCGACTTATTAGGCGTATCTCCATGTGGTGTGGTATTCTAAATTCAAAAATTTAAAAACAATACGATCGAAAAAGATGGTAAAATGTATCAGGTTCAAAACTGCATAAACTTTTACTCGACCTAATATAAATTTTTAGGTAGGACCAAAAGAAACTGAAAATGAAGGTGGGCAATAGATTGTCAGAAATACTATAACGCTTTACATAATTTGAGGTTCTAAGCTTATATATTATATATAAACGTAACGTATATATATATTGGTAAGAATAAATACAGTTCTTGATGTCCTTATTAGATTTATGAATGAGCTTCCTTGCACAGCCTTTTTAGGTAAAATGTCATTGAACCTGGCAAGGTCGGAGCGCGGTCATTGCCTCTATCTACTTGTTACAATTTTCGTCCTTATACTCCTTTAATCAAAGTTGAAATCGCTATAACAACCGTATATAGATTCCATTCCAGATTTTCCAGGTTAAAAAAAATTAAAAACGTATTTGTACTGTGTAAGTAGTTCCTTATTCAAATTCCATTTGAGCATAATAATTATTATAATAATAATATTAATTACGACGAAGAATGGGTTTACAAAAATAATTTAAAACAATTTTTTTATAATATATCAAACAGGCAGGAGGCTCACCTGATGTTAAATGAAACCCTCTCATTGCCAGAAGGCTCGCAAGTGCGTTGCCGGCGTTTGTAATTAGAATTTGTAGGCTCTTTTCTTGAGGGAGTCGAATTGGTTCGGAAATACTTTAGTTATATAATTTTATTACCAAACTTTTTAAATTTATTTAATTGTTATAATTTTAATATTAATTAAAATAAAATATCTTTTCATGCGATACATAGATGTGTTATTCCTAATCGTAAAATCGCATAAATTTTCTGTGGTAGTTCTAGTATTAAACAACACCAATGTTTTTGAGTTTTTAACTCAGGACAGTTTTAGGAATTTTTAAAGAAAATTTACCCAAGCAAATAGTAGGATGTTTGATGACTTTTGACATAGACAAATTTCAATAGTGAATATGTGATCTAAATTATACGCAGACGAGGTCGCAGGCATTTGCTACATAAAAAACAATAAGGATTCATAATCAAATTGTCATATTAATTATTATTTAATATTTATTTAAGCTACAAACCTATTAAAACTAATGATTTCCACGTGTAAATTATATACAGAACATATAGATTCTACGCCCTATATAAAAAAATACTAAATTTTTTGACAGTTTCAGTCATAAACTCTTTGAATAATGAACTAAAACATTAATCTATAACTATGGGTTACTAATTACTATTCTTGATATGTTTTTAGAATTACTTCCGAACACATTCTTGAGAATATCAAGAGTTAATTTTAAATAGATCTACTTATAAAAATTGATTATATCACAATACAATCTCGAGGACACCCGTTGCACTCAGCTGATGTGACGTCACGGGTCAGTGACCTTGCAACTGTATCGAGTGACGTCATTAAGATTCCCGGTAATTGAATGATTTAAAAATGGAATGTTTTTGAAGGTGTTACCTTTTAATTCTCTTTAGCCATATTAAATACGTCTAGATTTTAAATATGGAATATAACTTCTTAGAAGTTGTGTTTTTTAAACGTTATTATTTCTAATTAAAGTAATATTAATTATCGCCTACTATTATACCCAACTTTGATAGAGTTTATTCGAATTCGATTTTTTAATAAATTGTTTTATCACTAATACACACCCACCTACGTCACAGTTCAATGTACGTTAGCCAAATCCAAGCTTGGTTCGAAATTTGAATTTTAATTTAACGGACTGATTTTAGGGTCGCGCATTCAAAAAAATTTATATTAACGAGTAACCAACAAAAGATGCACATTTGCATAGAAATAAAATTTATATTAATCTTTTATTTTTTTAATTGATCAGTTAAAAATTTTAAAAACGAACCCAAAGAACGTTTTAAATATTATTTAAAGATATGTACGAAGATACAATTGCGTATTATAAATATACGGATAGTACTGGCTTGAAGCTAACAAAAATAGAAGGTCCAAGGAATCCAAGGTATTCATCATAAACTACATAATTTTCTCTATTAGCAACCCTGTCATGGGTGAACGCCCGCTGTTGTCCGAATGTACAACTATAAACTCGTCTATTCCTTATTTAAACTCTAACACAATGGGACAAGGTATAATTTTCTGCTTTATAGCAAACTTTGAATCCTTTGGATTCGAAATTCGAATGGACATGGATAGTTCTAAGAACAAGTATTTTATGCTAAATTGTAATAAAATGGTTTTCAACATCAACAGTTTATAATACTCATAAATAACAAGTAGATTTAAAAAATATTGATACAGGAGCTAAGAAAAATTTGTATATTTAGATTTTTATTTTTAACTATTTTCTTCTTGAATTAATATTGTGTTAAAATAATGGCTATGGTTAGCATGTAGTTACCTAAGTTCCTCGTTGCTTTGAAAAAGTCACACTATTTAATTTTATTGGTCCGTATGTGATACATAAATTCTGTGGACTTAAAACTTTATCATTAATGTTTATTTTAAATAAGGCGTGTTAATCGAAGTAATTACTCGTTACACGCTTATAAAATTGTCAATTTTAGCATTACGCGGTGACAGTACAGGTTCGTTGAACCCCGAAACGCGCTGTCAGCTGATTCGAAGCCAAAACTAAAAATATGCAAGTAAACACCTCGCACACAACGATTTAAATGTTTTAAACTATGAATTTAAATTCTTCTAGAAAAATTGTCTTGATTATAGTTTTAAAATAAATATTGGCTATATAAACTTTCAATTTTTTTTTGTATCGTTTTATTTATAAATAAGGCTAAAGATAATCAGAACCTCACTTATGTCTACCAAAAGCCATCAAAAGTAGTTTAGCTTATAAGGTATCGTGACGTTGGGTGAAAGTGGGCATTGAATTTTTTTTTTATTCATAATTTTTGTGTTATTAATGAATTAAGTTAATGTGTAATACAGGTTATTCAATGAATATGAACGTAGGCACAAGTAGTTAATGAGACCAAATTGTTCAACTAATTTCAAGGTCCTATGCAGATTTCATTCACCTGTGAGGTCATTCACCAAAATCATTAGTGGCCCAACAACCCTTGGTCTTTGCCTTATATTTTTGTCTCTATTTCGTGATCGCTTTTTCTATAGACAAGTAGTCATCTGTCACATACGGTGACAGAAGGACAACGTGTATTTTTTTAGTGTTTCGCGCACATAGAATTAATTGGTGCACAGGCTGGATTCGAACTAACGACCTCTGGGATGAGAATCGCATCCTTAAGCTACTAGACCAACAATGCTCTCAGGCGTATAAAAGTTTATACAAAATCTTTATTATACAAAGGATTACGATTATTTCAGATCTTTTGATTAAGTTTCTTAAATTGTCTTGGGTTTACGTTTATTTAAGTAAAACATTTTTAACAAATATTGATGCCAATTTATGGCATTATTAACATAACTCGTTTTTTAGCAGTGAGCAGCTACCACGTCAATTAGACAAATAATGTTATAAATTCGCGTTTATTAAAGTATTATTTAATTGTTTTGCAACTTTGTTTAGGAGCTTCATAAAAGCGATTTTGATGTTGTAATGATAGATACTTAAAAGTGTACTTCGTCTGGTTACACCCGTGTCCGTATTCTGTATTTCCAATAGAGGCACCACTTTGTGGAACCAGCTGCCCACTGAAGTATTTCCGAACCAATTCGACTTAGGGTCCTTCAAGAAAAGAGCGTACCAATCCTTAAAAGGCTGGCAACGCACTCGCGAGCCCTCTGGCATTGAGAGTGTCCATGGGCGGCGGTATCACTTACCATCAGATGAGCCTCCTGTTAAGTGTCAGCCTATAGAAACTCACATTAACCTCTTAAGAATTGGTACGCTCTTTTCTTGGAACCCTACTAAATCGAAATCGCATAAATTGTCACGGTCGCTTTTGGAAGTTACAGAGTTCGATCAGAACAGAGACTTCAATTTGTATGTATGTATGTATGTATATAGTGTCGCCTCCGTTTCCGCTCCGCTTGGTTCATGTGGTCCGTTGTGCGAAAGCCTAGAAGCACAGAAGTTTCCTGGGCACGCAGGCTTTACGGAGCGACCTCACTACTCCGAGGATTTCTGTTCGTTGGGAAGCCACAGACATTCCGGGTCTACATGGGTGACTGATTCCTGTGCGCTGAAACAGCTGCACAAGAGACTGTCTGTCGCGCCAAGCATAAAGAGATGTTTATTAAGGAGACAGTAGCCCGTAATTGTCCCTATTTTGAGATTAACTCTGTTGAGTAGTATGTATAAAACTATGTATGTTGAAAACCTTGGATTCAAACCGATAGACTAGTTTACACAAATTAGTCTTATCCAAAATTTCCGCGATTTGGCGTGCGTCAAGTTACTTAACCTACATAACACAAAGAGGTAGTTTTTGGGGCACATTAGAGCGATAATTTTTACTAATTGTAAATAAATGGTCGGAACTAGGTGACACCAATGTCTAAATATGGGTGATTAGTAATTTTTACAAATGGCGATTTTTTCTTCAAAAAGTTTTTACGTTACATATTTTGATTGGATACACTGTACAGCCAGATTGGACATATAATGAGGACTAACAAAGAAAAATGGACTAAGGATGTAATAGAGTGGTATCAGAGAAACGGGAAAAGAAAACGAGGAGGTCAAGTTAAAAGATGGGAGGACGATCTGCCAAAAGGATGGAGAAGGTCTGCCAAGGATAGAGAGATGTGGAAACGATTGGGGGAGGTCTATGTCGACAGACAACCTGACCAAAGTGGTTGCTAATAAATAATTATTATTTCGCTATTTAATTAGATTTAAGAATGCTACTGTTAAATAAGAATAGCATGTAAGTTAAAATGGTCAGTGAATAAAGGGCTTTTATTATTATTATTATACACTGTACAGCCTCTGGCGCCATAAGTACCTAATGTTTTTTTACTCGGAAGACCTCTTGACTTGTAGTTTAATATAGATTAAATTTAAATAGTTTTTATTTAACTGTAAACAGGAAGCTCAAACTATTATAATGAGACAAATGGACACAATGCTTTATACAATTTAATCTGTTAACAAACTAAACTGACTCTTAAAGACTTAAAAGTATTAAAATATATATAGTACTTAATAAAAAAATAAATAAATCAGTGGCGCTACAACCTCTTTAGGTCTTGGCCTCAGATTTCTGAATCTGTTTCATGATCATTTTTCTATCTAATAGGCAAGTAGGTGATCAGCCTCCAGCTGACACACGCCGTCGACTTTTTGGTCTAAGACATGTCGGTTTCCTCACGATGTTTCCCTTCACAGTTCGAGCAAATGTTAAATGCGCACATAAAAAGAAAGTCCATTGGTTCACAGCCGGGGATCGAACTTACGACCTCAGGTAGGAGAGTCGCTGGAGCCACTAATACATACATTTATAGTACTTAATTAAATTTTTATCTAAGCTTTAATACGCATTCATCAAGTTTAAGAATCTAATTAAAAAAAACTAAGAAAATAAATAAAGCGATAGTAACAACAAATAGTTTAATCATTGTTTGTGTCATTACACAAAGTTCAGTTATTGATAACTCAATTAGTTTTAGACATAAGAATACGGTATTAATATATTTTCAAAATCCAGTTTTAAAACATCAAAGATATCTTTATCTGTGCTCTCTTTTTTTTTAACAAGGAGAACGGTAAACTTTTTGACACAAGGACTTGTCAAACTCCGAGTTATTAAATGTTCTCAAACATTCTAAAACAGGAGTTATTTCGGAAAAGTCTTAATTTATTTATCGAAACGTGAGCTTTTTATATAATTTAATACTAAAAGAATCTAGTAATATAATATTTTCTTGATCATAAATTATCATACACGTTCTGTAGAACAGACGGACGTCTAGGAAAAAATCAATGTTTTGTCTACGCAACGTTATGTAACGGGTTGTCGTCTGGTAGTACTTTGCCCCAAATGGGGGTATGGGGATGGGGACATCACCCAGACCCAGCTGCTGCAGATAGGACTTAGTTTCTTTAAAGGGATACATATACCAAATTTATTACGAATCGAATTACAAATTTTAAATATTTGTTAATTTAATTATGTAACGTAGTTTTCATGACTTAATATTATTAGAAAGGTATATTGACAATATGTATGTAATGTTTCCATGAAACATTTAAAGATGAAATGTCCCGTTTAAAAGCTAATGACAAATACCTCTTATAGAGTTGGCAGATTTCTTGTCCATGAACATTCCGGAGATCGATGACCCAAACATCCCCTCGCTGTTGGGGGGAGGGGAGGTGCTGTCAGCTACGGACCCTGATGTTATATCCATGCCCATGTGCATTCCTTGGACCTCATGCGGCTCCCGCTTCAGCTGCATCCCTTGGGGCAACCCCTGCTGATGCAGCATCGTCGAGGCCGACGAGTGTCCTCCGTGCTGGTCCGGGGGCCACTGAGACCCGAACAGCTCGTGGAACTGATTATTGTTCATGTTCGTTTTTCAAATTTTCAAATTAAGTGATTTTTGGCCAGGCGAATCGTATTCTCATGGCTCAATGTCACTCTCCAAAGGTGTTAAAGCCGACTATGTCGTAAGGCAACGTGAGACCATAAATTTCTTTCTTCGAAAAAAACTATGGCACTAGTGTCAACTATGTTGCACTGTTTTAGCTGATATATATGTTCCGGCCGAGCGGCGATGTAAGATTTCTTTTCGCGAAGTTTATTTCAGGTATTAACTTTTTGAAAAGCAACAAGTTTTTTGGCATTTTGTCGCCGTCGTCTCTGATTATATTTCCCTTCGTTTCTTATTAAATAAACATTCTAATAAGGCACTGTTTATTTTATTGTATTTTCACACTTGTTCCCGTATACTATTCAAATTATACCATTAAAGATTAACAGAATAAAAATAATCTGTAAACAGAAAACAAGAGTAGAAAGGAGAATTTATTTAATTTTTTTTAAAGGTAGTGGTAATTGCTCTGGTTGTTCTTGGTCAGATATTTTAAATTCTGTTAATCTTTACAGTAAATTTAAAAGACCGTTCCATTAAAATCCATTTCACTGCACTTAAGGCACTGTCACAAAAACAAAAGATTTGTTCACCAACTCACTGCTATAAAAAAAATATTTGTACGTTATTTTGTACTATAGGTTGTTCACAACTCGGCTACGCGACCACGACTGCTTAAGATGTCGACGCCAGGGCGGCTCGATCGTGACTGACGCATTGACGAATCTTCAGGCCCGGCTAACAAAAATTATATATTTTTTCATTCGGACCGAATAATCAACTTAGCTCATAGCGATAGTTCAATCACCGCGCGGCGAATAGGCGAATTTTCGCCTTCAATTTTGACCGTTAAGCGTGGGGACCTTGGAGGTTATAAAGGGTCTTAATTGAGCCTCACATTGCCGTGATTAGGGCTAGGAAAATGTTTACAATAAAGTAATTAAGTGACAAATTTGCCCAGCATGAGTGCTACGGGAGTTATCGATGTGTGCGTGAAGCGTGTACGGACGTAGCGGCGCGCGCACACAGTCGCGCCGGCGTCACAGCGTGTCGTTGAACCCGGGACCCAAACAAAGTAGATTTCGGTGAAATGCTGTTGAACTCTAGTTTGAATGTGGAATCAGCGGATGCTTGGGCCGGCTGCATTTTTGGCAATTCGATTTTTGAAAATCTTAACCGACTTTTTTACGCTTCGGCTAGGTGTCAATATTCGATTGTCATAAGGTCAACGACCTCGGTTTACATGTAATGACAGAGCGGTTTTCATATTATTTTCGACGACTGGTATTATTATGATTTGTCCGGTTGTTTCAAAGTATTGAGTAGGTAATGGAAAATTTCGTTTTATATTTTCATGGCTAAATTTACCAATCAGTATAATAACTTAAATTGTAGTGCAAATTATTTATGGTATTAAAATTATATTTGAGATTAAGAGCAAAATTAAAAGAACTAAACCAAATCTATATTACGTAACTAGTATGTAGCACAGTAGATATTGTATCAAAATCAGTCGACCACGTTCGTCACCTACTTTGTCTGACCTAGACGTGGGTCAAAGAAACCATTTAGATCATAAAGCAAGCCAAAAAGGTCGACAGTGTAGGCGAGTTGTTAAAAAAATTAATACGCATATTAAATCTTGTTCAAGCCGCTAATAACTCAAATTTACTGTTATTAATGACATATTATATAGATAATTCTTTATAGGACTATTAGTTGTGTGAAACCAAAAAATTATAATTTAATTATGTATATTACTAATATGAAGTAAGTCAAGACTTCTTCTTTTCAAGAAAATTCTATCCCTACCTTAAAATTCCAAAAATTTAAAAACTCACGATTGGTGTTTTGAATATAGAACATGCGTTACTCTAGAACATAATTAGAACAATATTCGGCAAATATAATTTAACTTTAAATTTAGAACATTCCAAATTCGAATCAGAGCATGGCCAAGACAGATCTTTGAAATTTACAAAACGGGATCGTGGTAAGTAGGAGTACATCAAAAATTTCCCCATTCCGCTCCATCGCATTGGCGACCTTGCCGTGACGTCACACCCTTCGTTCAACGAACTATTGATTTTGTCATCACGTGCTCATTATGACATTAGTTTATGATAGAATTTTAACCCTCTTTAGCGGCTATTTTAATTTGTGACATTATACTCTATAAAGCATCACCTCGTATATAAAATAATAATAGAAGTAATGTTTGATGATCGTCTAGCAGAAAACGAGACGTTTTTACTACATAAACCACGAAAACACTATCACAAGTGCAATGACATTGATAACAGTTGATAACGATATAATTAATAAAAACCTGAATTCTTTATTCATTAATCTTATCACATGCAAGTTACCTGTACATTTTGCAGCTTGACTATTTGCAGATTGTCCAAGCTTAAAAAAGGATTTTCATTTCTTTTTGATTTTTATTAGAATATTTTTTGATTAATTAAATAATGGGTACCGAGAACATAACAGAGGCTATTTCGGTCTAAATGGATAGCATTGTTTTGACAGTTTAAGGGCGTTCTGATTTCAAATTTTGAACAAACAGCCGCCGAAAACTTCAAAAAACATTCGAGGAACCAATTCGGATGTTTAAATTGAGAACATTCGAAATTCAAATTCGAATGAGGCGAACTGCGTCCATCGAACTATGAACCTATGTATGAACTTCGGATGCCCCTATTTACAGTTAGTCGAAAGCCGAAACTGCAACTGTGCAAATATCGTGTAACGATAATTACAACCTTTTTTGTTAATTTACAACATAATTTTTATGGTTATAATGAATGTAAGACTATAGTCTTTACTACCAGTATCGACTTGGCTTGGTTTCGACCTAATGTAACCCATTTTTGCATTAGTTTTATTGTTATTTTAAACTTTACTTCCCGTATTTTTTATTACATATGTGTGTGACAAGCATTAACAATCAACTTTTAAGGAGCATTCAGAAATGTATTTCGGATGTCTATCTATTACAAGCTATAACAATTAAATACAGAGCCATACCAATTTCATTTAGTAATCAATCAAAATTCGATAAAAAAACACTTTTTCAGGTTGACAATGAATTCTTTTTTTGAATTTATTCATAAAACGTTCACTATATTTGATATTAATGGTACTAAAATAATAAAAAGAAAAATTCTAAATTTAAATATGTATATTCCTTTTAAATATATATGCGACTCATTAGAATACACTACTTACATTCGCCTTAATTAGTAATTAGATATTTAAATTTGTCTAGTAGTTTGAGTAACACCTTTCTCTTAAGGGTGGCCGAAAAGTAAAGGGAATGATTGTGAGTCATGAGTGGAAAGTACCGGATCGCAATCAATCGCACATCATACACTGGTGTTAAGCACTTACTAGGCGAGCAATGAACTGTTTCGGGGTTCAATGCTCCACAGTAAGATAACTTTATCGATAGATTTATATGACGTTTCCGTCATTTTGACGTTTCGCGGGATTTTTAAATATGACGTATGGAAATCGAACTTCTTTTGTTTTTACTTTAAACAATTATTCGTTAATATATGAATTTATTATACGATTTTGACATAGTGACTCATTATTCATATGTAATGAAATTATTTGTGGCGATGTTTATGCATTGTCACTAGAACATAAATAAAACGGTACTGTATTCTTCAGTTTGTCTAAAATATAAATGTTAAAGAATTTAAAAAAAAGCCTACCAGATCTTTTTTTAATTTTTTTTAATGCGTAGTATTTCGCCAAATTTTGTTGGCTTAGCTGTGTATATATAGGTGTAGATAAGCTGTTGCTAAGCGTTGAAGGATAATTTATATATTTAAATGCCATCTAGTGGCACTTTGCGTATTAGAGAACTTTATTTACATTAATTACATAATCTAAACCAGTAGTAGAAGATCTTGGGTCAGCCGATAGATAAACTTTAGGCGAGATTAAAGATGCTTACAGTGGTTTTGATAGTAAGTGCTCTAGTTTCATTTGGTCTTTAATAATGACAGTTTTCGAGGAGCAAGTTTTATGAAAGAAATTGAGATGACCTCCGAAACGGCACTTAAAAAAAAGCTAGTTTTCCTTAAGAAGTTTCCAATACAAATTATAGAAACCTCTCTATTGCAATAAAAAACTGACAATTTCTAAGCACAATTTTGTTTAAAAAAACGAACCTCTTTTCGTAGATTTTCTTCGGAAATAAAAAACAAAAAACGTTCGTTCTTTTTTTAATTCGCCAAGACTATCTGGCCATTAAGAAAAAAAAAGAACGCAAAAGCGCGGGAGTTATGAAACAAGTACCGGGAAGGCGATAAGCTGAGCCCACGTGGTGGGTCAACGCCTGGCCCACTGCGCATCGGGTTCGCTAACCGCACGCAAACATACACAACTCACACACACGTCGCGCGCGCAGGTGACTAATTATTGTCTTGTTATGTAGGTGTGTTGGGGGTTTGACATGACAAGATGTTTTGAAATGGCGGACTTTTAATTACAGACAAATTTTAGTACTGTACCGTAATTTTTTTAATGGATTTTTGGAACAAAAAGACCTTAAGAAGGAATGTCAAAAATTTCGCAATTTTATTAAGCTTTGGATAAATTTAATGCTCGAATCAGTAGGAGATGGGGACCGCGAGTTATAACCGGTTTTAATACCCGCGATTTGAGTGGTAATGAGTACGAGGCGTAGATTTTTAATAATATTTAGAGTGAAAAGGAACTTAGACAAAAAAAATATTTTTCAGAAACACGGACTTTGCTAGAATGGCTATAACACGGAAAAATCCCTTACAATGTACATAAATTGTTCGAGATAGCAAATGAGGTACTTTCAAGTGACTACCAATTCATCAAACCCTCATTCGTTCACCCCCAGAGGCAAATGTCCTTGAGGCCGAATTTTGACCCCCGCAATTAAATCCATTGAATTTTCCACAGAGTATAGAGTCATCGTTGATATTGTA